CAATTCGTACTTCTGGAGAGATCCTAAAGAAGTCTTATCTATGCTATTGGCCTTGTGACTTCCATACAGATGAGCATTTGTGACTCTCTCAAAAGCAAATTTTGTTGGACAGTGTTTTTGGAACAGGTACAGTGTTTAAATGTTTCCACTGTGCAAATAGTAGTTTTGGTTTATTGCTAAAAATAAAACTTAAGGCTTCTCTGGGGGGGAAAAAAGTTTCAGCATATGTAGAATGTGGATTAAGAAAAAAAACAACCAAAACAAACCACCTTTTATTCTTCCAAATTCTGGATTATTTAAAATATTAATTGTAGTGGGCTCTTGAATGGTGCAAGGTGAATATTTCTAACTACATCTGTGTTCACATTTTCTTACTAACCAGAGTTGTTCCCACCAGAGTTAACCTGATCTCTTTGAGCATCCAAAATTCTGCGTATGACCTTCATACAACCAAAAAACCTGCTCTAGTTGTGTTCAAAGACAAAACTGTTGTTACCTTTAAGGGATAACAAACAAGTTATTTAAAAGAAACCCTGTCAGGGTTTCATATATTTACTAGGAGATGCTGAGATTATTTTTTTATTTCCTCCTACAAATCTTAATGTGGCGTTAATGAAACAGGCAAGATTTTAAGCTCTGCTGGTTGTTAGAGAATTTTAATAATTATGGTTCTCTGTGAACCTTTGAAGACAGTTTTGTTGTGCGAAGCATATTTTTTTTTAACATGCCCGACTTAAATGCTTTCTTATCTTCATTTTTTTAAAATATTTGGTAAGAACCTGTAGTAAATCAGTGTCCACTCAAGTTCTGTGTTTCAAAAGTACAAATGAAGAATATGTTGGAGTAGCACACAGATTGCATCCAGAGCAAGTAAAATGTTTGTTTTGCATTATTTTGTTGAAAGAGTGCTGTCTCTCATGTGATAGTTCACGCACTGCTTAGATGGAGTTGCAGTGTTGTAAAACTTAGGTGAGACTTGCCAGGTACCAGCAGTTTTCAGGCTAAATATGGGAATGCCAAAATAGTATTGATCTGAGTTATAGAATTTAATTTTAAGTGAACGTTTTTCAGTAGATGTAGGTGTTAAAGTGTCATAGTGCAGGCTCAGGTTTAGAGAAACATTTTTTACAATTTTATTCTCATTTGTAGTTGGGCTTTATGTGCTGTTTTATGCCATCGTAGTCTAGGTAATCATTCACTTGCATATCTTTATCTCAAAAATAAATTACAGTGAAGTTCAAAGACAAGATGATAAGACTAGATTTTAATGACATTATTGCACTTTATTACAACTTAAGAAGGAGGACCATTGTCCATTGTTGGTTATTTCTTCAGTCTTAGAAAGTGATGAAATTAATGCCCTGTGTTTACAAAGTGAGAATTTAGAATGTATAGAGGATGGTAGGATTGTATCTTTAATCCTGCAGAGCTTTGAATATTTAAGTTGGTTTGGTGTTCATTACTGTCTAACTTGACTAGGTCTAAAGATACTTCTTTTCTTTAGCAGTGGGTGATGCTCTTAACTTGCCTTGAGTAGACAAAAGGTGCTAACTCCTAATTAGTATGGTTATAATGGGGCTGTATTTAAAAACATATCACAAGACAGATGATATTCCAAGTCTAGACAGTTAATCCTGTCCTGACTGTTGGTTTAAAGAAAATTTTTCTGACGAGGAATGTTTTTAGTAGGTTCTCCTTAAACTGAAGGTGCAGACCTGAGAATTACCACAGCACATTTATAGCTTTTGGGGAAGATATACAGAGATTACACTCTTACTTGGTTTCCAAATCTATCTTTCTAGAACTGTGAAAGAAACTTGAATACTTTTCTATATAACTAGTAAAAAAAATACAGTATTTATTTTACTGGTTATAAGGATAAGGTTCTTCCCTCAGAATCTTTACCAAGTAATACAGATCATTGCTTCTTTTTTTTTTTTTTCTTAGGGTAAAAACACTTGATGGGAATCTTATTCTTTAATATTGTTATGCAGGATTTTTATGAATGACTGTAGAGGTTTTTTGTAATGTTTGTTTTCTACTGTCTCTTACTTTCCAGTCACATCAACTGTACTGGAAGAAGTAAAAGAAAAACTGGATCTTTTTTTCCCCCTTCTGTGTGGCAGTGGTATTGAAAGTTAAAAGCTGTGTTTGTGCTTCCTTTGCTGGGCAGAATTTCTTTTCTTTGTTTTGTTTTGTGTTTTTTTTTTATTCTAAGATGACTTATTTCATATCTTTGTCACTCTAATTAAAAATACGTACTGAGATCTCATTTGAAAAAACTCAGATATAACGTTACAAAGGCGTGGAATCTAAATTTCTTAACACAAATCAGTCAATATAGTTTTGTAAGATAATTGCAGTTGAAAATGAAATGTTTTTTGTTTTCTTGAAAACAGGAAAGATCTTTTGATCTTAAACTTCTGTATTTTTTTGTCTGTCCTTGAACATGACATACCCCCTTCCATCTGTTCCCTCACCTTCCCTTGCCCTCTTCCTCCCAAAATCTTAGTAAAGAGCATTGAAATGTTGCCAGGTTGTTACCAAGAAATATAGTCCAGGTTGAACTGTGGTTAAAATTACATAAAAGAGTTCTAACTGCTAGAAAGAACTAAAGTTTCTCCTTGAAGGAGCTGAACTTTCTGACTTGCTTGTGTTTAGATTCCTAGGCATCAGTGTAACAACTAGGTGAATGTCTACAAGCTGCTTCCACAAGTATGAGTAGCACTGTTGTGCTATTCACTTAAGTCAAATACCACTGATAGGACAAGGGAACTATTTTTTGGAATCTACCTAAGTGAAAACATGTCAAACAGCTGAAATGTCAAACTTCAAATAAGTCAAAAGAATTTATTGCTTGTGTAGTAGGTATCTTAATAATTACAGTAGACTCCAAAGTCTTATTAAGCAGCATAGAAAGAGTAAATGAATTATTTAACTTGATGTCATGAAGCCAGAAGAATATTTAAATTATTGAAAGTAATACCAATATGTATTTATAGCTATATGTTTCCCCCCCCAAAAAAAATCCCTTACTTCTCCTTGGGAGGAATATTGGACTTCAGAATTTATACCTTCAGTCACTTAATCACCATGAGCTGTACTGGTACATTTAATAAAAAAATAAATATACTTGGACCTTAAAGTTGTAGATCTGACTTACAGAGTAGTACTCTTACAGAATGTGGACTGTGTGTTCTTGCGGAAACACTTCATATTTTGAAATATTTGTCAAGAATAATAGGGTAACAGATGTAAATGATGTCGTCTTGGAGAGTAATTGCTAAGGTGCATACAGACATTTTTGTGTAAGTTTAATCAACAGTTATTTACCACTTTGTAGTAGATGGAGAAAAATTTTTGCATAAAACAACAGATACAAGGAATAGCTTAAAGCCAAGATTTTTTTTACTGGGAAAATAATTTATTTGGTTTTTTAACCTTTGAATTTCTATTTAAAAGTGTTTTTCATTTTGCAATGATATAGTGTGACACACTAATGTTAGGTAGATAGTATATACTTCTCCAAGCAGTAAGGACTATTGCTATCAAAAAGTAATTTTTTCTCTTACTCTTCTTCATGTGCTGTACTTGTCTTGTATTTTACAATTCCTTCACTCTCCAGCTCAAATAATTTATAATTTCTGGATGGATAGGCCTTTTTGTGTGTGCTTTATTTTAAGAAATATGGCAGGTATTTAGTAAACTTAGAGACATCAAGTGATTGGCAGTTAATTTTCAATTTTGGGGGTTGATTTCTGTAAATAAAACTACTACAATCTATAAACATATTTTTCTGTATACCTCTACTTACTGCTTCTTTGATCAATTTCTGTTCAATAAACTAATTCTTGTTCTTTCTCTGTCTTTAGCTTTTTTCCTTTTCTACCACTTACTCTTTTTCTCTTCCTAGTCCCATATTTTGTCTAACTTCCACTGAGAGAAGAAAAGGAGGAGTGAAGAGAGAGAAGAGGTAAGGGGAAATCTTCCTTGTTTTAATGGACTGGCATAAAAATTTGAGGAAGAGAGATCTCTTTCCATCACTTCTTCAGGAATATACAAGAGCACTCTTGGACCAGATAGTGCAGGGAAGATAGCAGAGTTTCTACCATAGAGAAGAGCGAGTTTCCACTGGCCATTGGCTAACTGACAGACTGATTTGAGGTTTATATTTAAAAGAGCAGGTTGCTCTCCACTGCCTGGAGCTGGTGTAGTGCGTGTGATGACCTGTATACTCAAGGATTGATACTTACATGGTGGTAACTCAAGTTTTTTAAGCAGGAATCTTGAATGCCATGGAGGAGGCAGGTTTTTCTTTCTTCTTTATTCTAGATCCCAAACTCAAGACCAGTTCATTAAGCTTGGCTGTCATTCTAAACATGACTGAGGTTTTTCTATTGAACGTGAAGTCCTGTATTTATTGTATCAGGATGTTTATAAGTATGCTAATGAGCTCTTTACTTCACCATGCCTGTTTTTACACTATATGGGAACTGGATTAAGAACAAAGTAGGAGGAGGAGCCTTGCCCTGTAGTAGTCTGGCTGTAACAGCCATGTTTCTTAACTAAGTAGGTCTAATGATCACTAGCTCTCTGTCAGTACAGCTGATAACTTTAAAAAACAAAAATTTGTTAGAATCAGGAACTTAGTACTCTTGAGATCTCTGAAGCTCAGTGAAAATACAAAAGGGGATGGAAAGGGCCAGCTGTGAGCAGTGTCTTGGGAGAAGCAGAGAGAGGAAACATGGTGATTTCAGCTATTATCTGTTGTGTGTGTAGCTCCAAACCAGCCACAGCAGTTACTTTTTTTCTTTTTTTTTTCTGGCTGACAGGGCATATGAGAAGGAGGTGAGGTGGACCCAACTACTGGCAATGTGTAGGTCAGTGTGGATGGTATAGGAGGTTTTTGAGGGGCTTGTGAGTGGGGCCAGGACCAGTTAATACTGTGATGAGGAAGATGGGGTTGGAAGATACTGCTATGAGAGGGATATAGAGAACATTAGGTCAGTGAGAATGGGCACAAACTACAAATACATAAGAAACCACATTTCTTTTAGAACAAGTTGTTTCTTCTATGTGATTTGCAGGAGTTGGTCTTTAATGGGTCCTAATTTCTATGTTGTATTTGTGTGTGCCTACTGTGTCTTATTTTTACTTGCTACCCTTATTTGTCTCAACACAAATGTGAAGTAGACTGCTAACTTATCTGTTAGGTTACCATAGATAGCAGCAAACAGTAGCAAAGGTCTGAGTTTAAACTCATAGTTGTTTCTAAGCCTGCATGCTTTATACTGCAGCTGCAGTGGCGTAACATTTGGAAGTTGGATATCCTTCCTAATCTTTTAGCAAAATCTGTACCATGGTGGAGTGTGTCAGGGGAAACAGAAAGAGCTTCCTTGTGGGTAAGATTAGTCATTTATTCATGTATTCTGCTTCTAGGTCTGATTAAAGATGTGTTATTTCCTTAGAAACAGCTAGCAATAAATCAATGTTCAGATTACTTTGATATGTGTATTTATGCTATGTATATATATGCTCCATATATTTGTCCAGATTACTTTGTGTGTAGAGACATACGTATACATATATATATATACACACACACATCAATATTTGAAGGAAATCTAGAGTATATCATTAAAATGTGAGTTTCTTTCGCTGGTTTTCCAAACAACCTGACTATTGTATAGAGAAGATGCCAGTGCTCAGAGCAGATGTAGAGACCAGGTTTAGCAAAACATACTTTTTTTTTTTTTTTTTCATAAAATCTTAATGTTTTCTGCTCTCTTTTCCCTGTAAGTGCCTTCCATCAATTTAAAATAAACATTTTTTTTTTTAAGTTTAAAAAAAAAAAAAAGTGGGCAGGGAAGCCAAGTAGGAAAGCTTGGCTCTGTGACAGTTCAGGACAGAGCTTTTTTTCACACTGGAGCTGTGGACTATGACACGCTGTATTGACAGGTGCATTTTCACTTAGAAATTTCTCCTCTATAGATCATGCTAGGGCATAGGCAGATCAACTTTTTTTGTAGGCCCATTCTTGTGGATTTCTTTGTGTGAAGGATGTTTCTCATGGCCACAAGTTAAAATTGTTGGCCTGTAAATCTCAAGGAAGGCATGACAAGAATTGCTTTTGCTAATGATTGCAAAATGTGTATATGCATATGATGTAATAGGGTGGAGGGAAGAGGAAAATGTTTAGATTGCACGCTCAATAAAAGGCAACTTACGCACAGAAGATTTTTTTTTTAAGTGTTTGTCCTCTAAATTATCTTTTTCCCTTTTTCTAGTGTATATAGTAGGCTTCATTTGGTGTCTTCCAATTTTAAGGTAATTAACTGTGTTCCTGTGTGCTGTATTGAGTACCAGCACTTCGAATATGCTTTTATCCACCTCCCTTTATAAAGAAAGCATTTGTAAGGGAAAGGCACAAGCACACCTTGTAGGCTTATTTTCCTGGTATGGTAAGAAAAATCAAACAAAATACTATCTTCTGGTCATCTCTCCCTTGTTTCCTGAGTTGACTTGTATAAACCAGGATCAGCAGGAGTCAACAGAGGTCTGAAAGCAGTAGTACAATTTTAGAAATCTTTGAACCTTGCCCAAAAGACCCTAGTGAGATGGGAAACCGTAGTTCATTTCAGAGTGATCTTGTGTGACTGTGGAGCCAACCTAGACCCATATTAGCATGAGTTTTCTACTGGGAGCAAATGGAATTTGGAGTTTGGGCTTAGTGCTGTATGAGTACAGACGGATTGCTTTTACATTCAGATTGACTTTAAGTTACAACCAGATTAGCTTCTTGTGCTGGTTGGACTGAAAGGTCTTGCTTGACTCAAGACTGTCATGCAACTAGTTTGTGTGTTTTACGTCTGAATCATTTTTATCTGTAAATCTGGTAACTCTTCTCTACCCTTCCTCTTCTTCGTTGGTCCATGCACGAGTGGAAAATTGACTGTACAGATACATCAATTTGTTTCAGCAGTTTTTTCTGTTTGTTCCAGTGAGTTTCAAGTTAATTCCCCTAAATTTGTACATGTCCCTTAAAAAACCAAATCTTTACACTGTGTGTATTCTGATACTTAAATACTGCTCCAGGAAATTGTTGCTAGTATTCTGCCTGTAGTTAAAGGGTGTGAGGCAATGGGTTTTCCAGTACTTGTAGTTTAGCAAAAGAGAGCCTATTCTGTGCTTGTGCTCTGGGGAAATAAGCTTTACTTAAACATGGGGTGAACTGCCTGTTTCTCCATGGGCTGGGAAATACAGGCTGTAACTTTTCAGATGTTCAGGAGCGACAGTTATTCTCAGATGTTCCAGTTACTCAGTTTGCTAAATGTGGATAAATTATCACCTTCACCTTTTACATATTTTGTAATATTTAGCTTTTAAAGAAAGACAGTTGGCATGTGTAGATAGGTTAGAAAGTTTTGATTATTTTTTCCCACTCCAGTTATGTGTATTTTGTATATAGACCTCATGAAGATGCAGAGCAGTCACAGTATAGAGATGGTAGTTTTGTTAGTATATTAGTCTATCCACAGTGACATTAATTGAGGACTTTGAGGTAAAGTTGCATGCGTTGGTATAAAATCTAAATAATTATTTATCTTAAACCAGCACTGTTTCCTCTTATTAAATACTCAGCCTAATTATAGGCTAATCTAATTATAATTAGATTTTTTCCCCTTGAATTTCTCCTCTTTGTTTAGCAAGGCCCTGGTAATTCTCTCTGCAGAGGCATTCTGTGATGAAATCCCCAAGTCTTGAAACATCTAAACTATGTAACTACTTTTTTTTTTTTTAATCTTGTGATTGTCAACACATGGTGATTGGTAGAGGCAGTTACTAGAAAAAAATATTGAAGAACTTCAGGTGTATATTGAAGTCATAAAAACAGGAACAAAAAGACTCAATATTTTTGTAATGCCTAGTGATGTGAGAAACTTGTTAGCAATCAGCTTACTAAAATTAGCTCAGTGTAATCCACTAATTTTGTGTATGAGGAAATTTCTTAGATTTGAGCTAAGTAATTTAATTGTAAGCTCAATTCATTATTTCATTGCTGTCCCTTTATAAATTAGAAGACAAATGTTGTATTGCCCCTTTCTTTGAATTTTATTGCTAACTTTTATAGTGGTTTGTTTTGGTTTTTTTTTTCCTCCTTAACTTTGAAATGCTTTTTGTGTTTAGTATCTATCACATGATAGCAGGATCTGGAAATTGTTTTATAGGGAAGGAAAGACAAGGAATAATGACGTCTGTGTAAAAAACTGTCAGATGTACTAAGAAGAGTAATAAAACCAGATTTCATTATTTTTTTTTCCCCTCTTTGGGTTTTTGTAGCATTAGGAGTAAATATGGATTAAAAAAAACCCCAAACAAATGAAAGAGTCTCACCTTTTTCTACTAACTATATGATATTATCTCAATACATTAATTTATCTTTAGAATGTTTTTTATCATAAAGGCAAAAACATTGTTATTGATGCTGCTGCCACCTCTTATCTTTAATTTTTATGCCCCCAGATGAGAGCTTTATTATTCTTACATATACAGAATAGTTTCTGGCAGGCTTCTTAGTCCTATTTCCTCTTTCCTCTCCCTTGTTAAAAAAGGTTAAATGTCTTGCAAAGGTGTAGCATATGACTATGTGAGTTGTACCTTTCCCAGTACAGCAAGTACTGTTTGGTTTCTTCTGGCTTGAAAAATATGCTGCATTATTAATAAAAATAAAGGTAAGATGGAGTTCTCTGATCAGGTTTATATTGTTGCTTTCTGTTTGAGTGTAAGTACTGAGAACTCAGTTTCTGAATTTATAAAGGAAAATGCAAGTAAAAGTGGTTAAGTGTGGGGGTTTTTTTTGTTTGTTTGTTTGTTTTTGTTTGTTTTTTGTTGGTTTTTTTTTTTTTTTATAAATTCCTACCTTAGGAAGAAAACCCTCACACACACAAAAAAAACCCCCAAACAAACCCAAAAAGAAACTTAAATGGAAAATGTCATGGAAGAATTTGTCTGGACTCTTGACACTTACAGGATGATTGATAGCTGGGATTATGAAACCTTGTTAGAGTCATCTGGACAGTTGGCTAGCCTTCCAGTTCTTATTTTTCAAGTGTACTTTCTGTCTAGGTGATCTGTCATCTACTTGTTTCCTGTAACTGTTTTATATAGCTTTTGATGGTCCTACAAGAAGGAAGTGGAAGGAGGGGAAAAAGACATGCTGATAAAGTAGGCCTGGAGTTTCTTTCTGCCAACATCTGATCATAGCAACTGGATTTAGTTTTGGATGTTTGGACTCGGTAGGATTAGGTTCAAAAATACTGATGTGATTTCAGGAGACTACCCATTTACCTTCTGATTCAAGAGTAGAGCCCTATGTATTTGGGTTTTTTTCCTTCCTCTGTGTACCAGTGGAAAGGTTACTTCTGCTGTCACTTCTAAGTTGATCTTAGAAGGACATGACAGAAAGGAAACATGTGGTCTTCATTAGACCACAGAATAATATTGTGTAAGTGGAATACCTCAGGGATAATGTGTAACTTGTTTAATGCATAAATGATGTTCTTTGTACAGAGCCACACAGATTAATAATTTGGAATGCATTGTACTCTTACACTTCTGTTAGAGCACAACTAATTTTTTAAAAAAAGGTTCTGTTATCATAAGCAAAATAGATCATGCAAAGTATGGTGAGGCTTCAAATATTTTAGACTTGATGTGGCTATTAAGTGAAAAAAGCTCCTGTGTATTCTCTAGAGAGAGAAAGAATTGCCATAGAAAATGTAAACCCATGTGATTGAATAGTAAGTACAGTGTGATAAGCTTCTTGCAGGAGGTTGGTCTTACGCAATATGAATGCTTTAACCAGAGTGAAGAAAAAGTTTTTTGCTTTTTAAGATGAAAATCATATTTTTAGGACAAGATAAATTTCTTAACTGAATTAAATAAAAGCAAAATTTCTTCAAATAAATAATGTGTTTTCATATAATAAAGCTGTGCTGGTAGCCTGATAATGAAGAAAATCTGATCAATTTAAGAAATTACCAAAATTCTTTTAAAGCTTCCATTGAATTATCACTAGAAGAATAGAGTAGGCCCTAACAAAATTGGAGATCCTCTATTGTTGAAATTAAGGTATGGTTAACAAACTGCTTTGCCCAATAAAAAGCTGATCATTGAACTTTGGACTAACAGTTTTTGTATAGTGCCTTTTAACTATATGACCCTGAAATTAACTGGACAAACCAGTGTGGTCTAACTTCAAATTCATGCACTGGTTGGTGAAAGACTTTCTCAAACAGTAAATTGTGCAAAGACATCTTCTCTAGCACCCTTCTTTCTATTGCCTCTGAACAGTTATTTAAATGAAATGCACCTTAGAAGCCTATGGGTGACAGTCAGAGGTCTGAAAGAATGATGACTTGAAATAGATGAGTACTTGCAGAAATTGGAAAGTACTGTGTTATGGTAGCAGATAGTATTTTATGACTCACCTAAAATACCAAGCCTCAAAGGATAAGTAATCACTTTTAAGATGGATAAGGAAGAAAGCTCCCCAGTAGTTACATTATTTTCTGTTCTGAACTTTTCAGTTTTTGTAGTATAATCCACTAAAAATACTGGGAATGTTTTAGTGTGTCATGACTGTACTTCTGGTTCTGATGTGACTGAAGATAATTATTTTCCTTCATTGCAAATCACTCTGGTGTTCATCCTTGGATGGCCTGTAAGGTCACAGTCTGTTAATAAGTGGCATAGCATAATTATTTATTTTAAAAAAGGGCGCCCCAACTTTAACTTGGTTCTCAGATTTGGTAACCTCATCTCTCTTCTTTCTATATTGACTATGAAGGTCACTTGAATATATGGTGGTTGGGCAAACTCATTTGTTTTATATGAGTTTGCAGGTACTTCCCTCAGTCTCTTGGGCATTTTTGCCTACATTTGTTAATTTTCAGTTGTTACTCTACCTAATAGGAATTGTTTAAAGAAAATTCAGTTAAGAAAGACCATGCCACCACCAAGAGCAATTTTAAGTGTGAGAAACCTATGTTCAAGTGAGGATCTTGATCCCAGGCAGTGGTGTCCAGTATGTCTTCTAGACCTACTTTGAAATACACTAAAACTGTTGTTTGATTGGTTTTTTAATTATCCAGTTACAGGCATAATATAAATTCCCTATTATGCTAATTATTTGTTAGCGTAGGTGAAACTACAGTTGCTATAGGGGAACAACCCTTAACCTATGGTAGCTGATTTACCTGGACTAAAAAAGTTTACAGTTTCCTTTCAGTTATTGGGTGGAAGTTAATTTTATATTTATTTATTTATTTATTATATCTTTTCAGAAGAAGAGAACTTAACGCTAAGCTGATGCTTCCTGTAAGTTGTAGATGAGGCCATTCAAGGTTCTACCCTATGAGTAGAGTAAATAGAGTAGATGGTGGCAGAATGCGAGTGCTCACTTAAACTGCAAGAGAGGCTTGGGATTTCTCTTATGCCTGCTACTAAAGATATTCTATACTTGCTTTTGGTTTAACAGGTTTTTCTTGCTGCTTATTCCTGAAAATAGTATGCTTTTTTCCTTAATTTTATGCATAGCTAGTGATATAGTTTGACATTTGTGGTATTTGATAAGAAAATGCTCAGTGTTTAAATGAGGACAGCAAGATATCTCAATGGCTAGTTGGCCTAATTGCTTTCCAGTTTGTTGTATTTGATGACTCGTGTAATGGGACTAAAACACAACTTCTGCTGTCTGGAGGGAGAATGAACTGTAGAAGGTTTAGGCACTTAAGAGTATGCCAAGATGTCTTATGTTAATTGCTGGACTTGAGTAGTGAGATAAAATTTAAGAAGTTAGATGAAGACTTGGTGCCAATTCATACCTTGGAGATGCCCTGCAGATGCCACTTCATCATCCTGAAGGTACTGACTTCAGCAATAAAAGGAGCAAATTCAGTTTTAAGTCCACAATGCTTTTCTGAAGTCCTTTTTATAAGTACCCTATTTTTCACTGGAGGCTTGTTAGTTTTTTCTTGGCAATCTGATGTTCTTTGGCAAGGATGAGCGCATTAAGATATGTTCATCTTGAAGCTGTTGGGCTTTTGTAGACTTCAGCAAAGATACTACACTTTGTCAGATGGGAGGAGTGTATTTATTAAGGCACTGTATGTGCTTCATTGCTAAGGAGTCTGTGTTCTTGCAATTTCGACATTTTGGAAGGAGTTTGCAATTATTCATTGTGCAGGTATTGAAGATGGGGGTATTTTGCTTGGGTTGTCTAGTCAACTTGTGGAAAACCTTGACTATATTAGGCTATAAAAGTGCATTTGTTTACTAATCTGTGAATGGAGACAGCTGAGGTGCTGCTTACATCTCCTCTGCTGTACTTGGTTTGGTGTTCTGCCATACTCAGTAAGAGGAGTGGGAGACTGGTGATAACTGGCATACAGGTGGGATTGTTGTATTGACTTGTGTGAATCAAGCAGATTGTAGCTTTGCTCTATAATTAAAAACTACTACTGATTCTTTTCAGTTTGCTACTTCAAAAAAAACCCCAAAACACTCTAAAATTGTCCTCTGATGGGTATAATATCTTCTGATGGTGATCTATTAAAATGAGCTGGAAATTGTTTCATGTAATTATTGTGAATCATTAGAATGATTTTGGTTTTAAAAAATACAGAATGGAAGTTATGGCATTGTTTCTTTTGACATCCTTAGTTTGTATTGTGAATGTTGAAAGTTGTTGGTTTTAAAGTGCAGAACAAAAGTGGACAATGCTCTCTAAGAAATATTTGAAAAAATCCGTAACCAGGTTTACACTGAAAGTTACAGCAACTAGACTCTTGACAATATAGAGTAGAAAGCTCATCACACTCTTAAAGTAAGTGTATTTGGAGTTAACTTTTAAAGATTGCTGTTTTCCTTTTGCTTGTGTGAAATAAAACTAATTGAATCATTGTGACAGATAAAAGTAAGTTTGGTTTTTGTTTGTTTTTTTTTTTTTTTTAAATACAAGATGTAAATTTGCCTGGTTTTAAAATTAACTGATGTGAGTCTGCTTTTTTTTTTTTAAACAGGGTTTGTGGATGCACTTAGATGTTTGCAATGAGCACTGTGGCTGGCATGCCCCAGTGTTTTGGATACCAATGCATAGGACTCCGTAGTAATCGAATTTATCAGAAACGAACGTCATGAGCATAGTGATCCCATTGGGGGTTGACACAGCAGATACTTCTTATTTGGAAATGGCTGCAGGCTCAGAGTAAGTATGTGAACAAAGTTTGGAAGTTTTCTTATCTTTTGTTTTATTTTTTTCACTAGTGAGTATTTTTTGAATACAAGTGGAAAGGACTTAGGGGTCTCCTTAGTTTTATTGAGTCTTTAATTACTTAAATTAATAACTGTTACTTTATTCTTAAGTCAATTTCTTCCTCTTCAGGGAGAGCAAAGGAGAGAAGCTAACTGTTATATGGAAACATGTTTTTCTTGCTTATCAGTCTGAGAAATACAGATGCTGCCTGGTTTGCTTTTCATACTTAAATACTTTACCATTTCATTTTCCTTTTAACTATATGTAAAAAAATAGTTTTGATTTCCCATCCTTTAGTGTAGTAAATTACAAGAAAGTGGTAGTAATTAGACAAAGATTTTTTTATTTTTGAAAGTTGAAGGCCTACCTTAATTAACTAATACCATGTCTTCACAAAGTTGTTATATATTGGAAGGCTAGTAGAAATTCACTTGTTAATAATTCATTTCAATTAGTAATTGCGGATAACTGTGTATAAAGGACTACAAAGAGCCAGTGAAATCCTGAATTCAAGAAACTCTTCCTTTGCATGAAATAAGCATACTGAATTTCAGGGGTTTGTGGGGACTTTTTTGTTTGTTTAGGGAGAGGTGGTGTTTGGTTTTGGGTTTTTGGTGGGTTTGGGTTTGTTTGGGGTTTTTGTTGTTGGGGGTTTTTTGGGGGGTTGTTTTTTTTTTGGTCATCTTTTTCTCTAGTGGTGTCTGAATCTGTAGAGTATCAATAGGCTTGATTTCAAGTATTGTTGATCTCCAGCTGGAGATCTTTTCTGTCAAACAAATATCTCACCAACTGTGTAGTGTCAACCTGGCTGTCGAATGTTACGAGAAGAGAAATAGCATTTTGGACAACTTGGTTCTTTGAGAGGTGAAAGACCAAGGTGGTGTTACAACTTTTACCAGTTTATGTAGCTGTGTATATTTCAGAATACTACCTGGATTTTTTTTATTTTTCCTCTTTTTCTCTATTGCTTGTGTATTGGAATGTGTGACAAGTGTTTTTCAGGAAGAAATGAGTGTCAGAAGCTACTAAAGGTGGTGTTAAAGAGGATTTGTGTAAACCACAGTGAAACTTGTATACTGCTTTGCACATGCATAGAGAAAAAAACTCAGTTTGTTTCTTAGATATAACAAAAAATGTTAAAGAAATAATTTAGAGTAAATTGTTTGGGTTTTGTTGGGTTTTTATAAAAAAAAAACCCACACTTGAGATGCTGTTACTCTTTGCCTTCCTCTGAGCCTTTCTGTAGTGATGTTAGACTTGTGCTATCTTTGGTTACCACAAGAATACTTTTGCTTGGTAGATACTGAAACAATAGATTAAACTTATTTTGCATACATACTTGAAATCTTTCATAAGCAAAAAATAAAATTTGTAGTGTTTCTTCATTTAACAGGTATATTGAGTAACTAACACAAATTTAAATAGCTTGCAGTCTTTGCTTGAGAATGAGTGCTAAGTAGTGTTACTTCATTGAAGAAGCAAATTACTTCCCTTCCAAACTTTGAAAGAAATGTTATGCACTGTGAGTGGAACTCTTGAACAGCTTTTTAAGGGGATGTTTCTCTCCTGTGCTTTCAGTTGCATATAAAACTATTCTAACTTTGCACCATTAATCTGAAGAAAACCAAGTATTTGCAATTTTAAGGTTCTTGTCACTTTAAATTTATTTAAAGTTGTTTTGATGATCTCTCATATCATGAACACTGGTTTCCTTGGTGCAGAAAGTTTTTTAACTTGAGTGGCCTGTTCACAGCTCTTTGTTACCTTTTTGTGTGGTTTTCTTTTATGTTTAAAGAAGGTCATGATTCCCGAGGTTGCTGACATTCCTTTCAGACACAGCATGCCATGCTGAGATTAAAATAAATAAATATAGTTGTCAGTATAAACAAGATAGAGTTCATAGTGTGTTATTTGCTTGATACTGTGGCATGGCAACCCAGTTAGGAACTGCTTTTCTTGAGATGTTAAGTGACTGTTACCAGTGTCATCTTTGCCATGCTTATGCTGAGAAAGGTGTAGTTGCATGATTGGCTTACACCAACTTACAATCTCTGTCACTGTCTAAAGAGGGTGTCGCACAAAGGTGTGTCACTAAGGTACCAGCTTACACAGCTGCAAGCCTTTTCTGTCACCATCTCTGTGATTTACATGGGGTTTTGTACATTTTCTTGCAGAGAGCAGCATGTTGGATATAGATTGTCTTGAGCAAGTTCTCAGTAGCGATCATAGACTGTCTTTGAGCAAGTTCTGGGGTTTTCCCAAGAGGGAGGAGTTGGGATTTCTTCACTGTGACTGAGAGGTCTGATATTGCTTCATTAGTTGCTGAAGCATGAGCTGACACAAGAATGGGGGAATGGCAAACCTGATTATGTAGGAGGAGCCCAGGAAAAAGCTCTTAGCTTACTGCAGTTTCTTATTGCCAAGAGTTTTTTTTCTTATGCTTCAAACTAAGGGATAAGCCTATTAAAAAGGAGGATAGTTACACGAGTACCTAGTTTCACATGTGATTTTAGTAATTGTAATGTAGCTGTGTGGAGAATAACTCTTAGTGAAAGGTTTGAAAGTCTTAAAAATGTGAAATAGTCTGTTTCTTATGTTATTTGTACCTAAGTGAGCTCTCCAGTGGTGGATTGATCTTCATAGTGCCATAGTAGTCAGAATATAAATATTTTGCCTTTCTGTGTAGAAGGTTTAGTAAAGATGAATATGCATGACTTCTTAACTGCTATAGACCTTTTGTGATACTAAGCAGAGCCAACCATTGAGGAAGGTTCAAAACGCACTTCCTGACTTGAGAGTGTTAGTCTAGCTTAGAGCATGAGTATAAGCTACGCATTGGGAAATGCCATTGATGGTACTGCTCTCCTGTCTCTAATAGCTGTATATGGTTTTTTCAGACAAGGCCTGTATAAGGAACATGACAACCACAGTATGTGGGTCATTGTGTTGTGTTCAGTATCCAAGAGAGAAGATTATGAACACTGGTGTCTTAAATAAATGAAAACCTACCCTCCCATTACTGTTGTTGAAACAGGGACTTTTTTAACCTTTTTTTTCCCCCCTCTTTTAAAGTATTTTAGGACAATGGGAAGCTTGCCAGTTCCTGTAGACTGTATCAGGCCAGCCTATACTTGTAGGGCCTGCTACAAGATGTTTGGGTAGCAGAACTCACTCTGAGGTAGAGTAGAAGTGCTCAGTTCTTAGTTATCCAGGTACCAAAGACCATCAGATGTGTTTAGTTAGATGAAGTGTCTTGAAATAGAAAATACTGGTTTTCATACAAAATATATTACATTCCTTTATCTGAGCTGACCTTCAGTCAGATACTGCTCAGGTGTGCTGTTGCAAAGGGAAAACAGACCTGAACTCCTTGAAAATTAGACCTATCAAACTGGCATAAGACAGGTTGATGCTGCTGAAGCATGTTTGGAAGCAAAAGGTTTCATTTGGAGTTCTGACAGATGTTTTCAGGAAGTAGCATTAGCTGAGCTTTCATAGCCTAAAGCTTGGATACCCACCTGCCATTGAAAATTTTAGTTTTAATGATATTTTATTTTCCATCTGAATACCTACCTTTTTATAAAAGTGGTTGATTGCCTCAAATTCCAAGGACTGAATGTATTTCGGTGTTAGTCAAAAACTGCTTCCTCTTTCTTTCTTTTTTTTTTTAATTGTTACGTGGGCAGAAACAAAATGGTATTTAAAAGGAATGGGGTGAGGGAGATGGGACGTTTTGAAGAAGAACTGACTATTGCTTAGGGTGGTTGATAGTCGATTCCCTTAATCTACATTAACTGCAAGTTTGCAGGGGCTGAGGATTTGTAAACTCTCTGATCTCATGTGTTGCTGATTTAATTTCTCGCTAGTGCCACCTGCTGGCAGCTTGCAGGATGCTCTCAGTTCGCATTGCTCTTTTCAATACGAACAGTAGCAAGTGACCCAGAACATGAGAGGTGTTTCACTTGGCAGAATGAAAATTATTTGAGGAGTTTTTAAAAATACAGGTAGCTTTTCTTTTTTTATTCACTCGAGAAAGTATTATGTTATTGTTTTCAAATTGCAGAGATGTCTTAAATCATTGCAGCCCAAGACCATGGGGGAAGCTCTTTTTGTGGTGCTTTTTTTGTTCCTTGTTAATATGTTGCACAGATTTGAATTGCTGACCACAACACTTAACAAATTTATATGACATTTTAGCAAAATGTCATGGTCAGTTTGTCATAATACTTCTTTATTTTAGGGCATAACATTAGGATTTTGGTCTAACTTCAAATATACTATATTATAATACAAACATTTCAGTTCTGATGAAAACTAAAAATACTGTAAATATCTCCCTTAGGCACTAAGGGTGCAGTTGTTAGAGGTGAAGCTGAACAATGTGGTGTGTTCGGAAGACTGACAGGCTTAGTACCTCAGTCTGTTACAGAACTGGCTTATGCTCAAAAATACAAAAAAGGAAAACCTCATCGTGTTCATTCTGATCTGAATGCTCACACTTTTTCTTCCTGAAAGCTTGCTTTTTGGGGTGCCCATAAAAATGCCAATGGTGGGATTAGAGGAGGTGTCTGTAATACAACCATTAGTGCCTTGCTACTTGAGCCCTGCTCCTCGAGTTTAAAAAAAAATAATAAAAAATTAAATTGCATGGTGTCTCATGCTTTAGTCAATTGTACAATTAAGTATTTCACCAAGAGGTGTTCCTTCACAAAACTCTCAAATTCCAAGATGCCTATTTGAGAAGATGGCCTTGACCTTTGGACAAATTATAGTATGGAGGATATGTTTTCTGTTTAAGATCAGTGTCATGCACATGGTGGGCAGAAGAGGGATAACAAGGAGTTCAGTGAAGAGCATATTAAAGTGTTGACAGACCTGCCTGACAAAGCCAGAAGGTTGTGTGTAGTTCTATGGAGAAATCATAGTCATTCTGTGCTGCTTATGTGATGAATATCACTTTCCTGTTGACTGTTAAGGAAACCTACAACGATGATTAACTTCTAGCTTCAGTGAATGCTCCACCACCTTCGTCCCGTATTTCTGAGTCTTCTCCACACTGTTCCCCACCCCACTGTAGCATTTGAGTGGATAAATGGAACAGTAACAGTTACATTCAAAGCTCTGGTGAGCATATTTTATAATTTAAAGAAATATCTGTGGTCTCCATGGATAACCATTTGAAAAAAGCTTTGCTGAAAGCTGATTCAGTTCTGAACTTGTATTTATGTTAAAACTTCTTAAATACAAAGATCTAATTACCTCTATCTTGCCTAATTTTCTCCCGCATCTTTTCTATCTTACCTTGCTCAAGTAAGATGATGCTTTTTAGCACCCATGATTTAAAAAAAAACAGAGAAAAGTTGGAAAAGCTGTGCCCTTCCAACAGATGTGCCTTTACTTACTTACTGACACAGTGCCTTGGTGCAGTAATCATACACCACATATGCCATCCAGTTAATCCTTCTGATGGTCTAGCCAATCAAAATGCCAATGAATGAGGCATTGATTATCCATCCATCAAGGATAGGACAGATATTAACTTACCTTTCTCTGGTTCAAGAGGCTCTTGACCATTGTACTGCTTCTACTGCTGTTCTTCCACATTTACTGAATGGGAAAAGCAGTAGCACTGCTAGTCTTATCCACTAGGCATTCAATGCTCAACTTTGCTTCAATATATGGAAAATACTCAAGTTTTCAGAGCAGGACAAGGAAGGAATTCAGGTACAATCCATCCTTCAGCAGTGCCACAATTAATTTAGGAGAGTTTCCTTCATTAACAATAAATATTACCGTGACCAAAAGCCACTTCAGTTTTAGATATTGATGCTTTGCCCTGCCTTTCAGTGTAAAAACCAACAAAAAAACCAGGACAAACCCACAAACCAAAACAAAAAACCCACCACCAAACCAGCCCCAAAACTTCGGGTAACTCTGGGTTCATTTGAAGTTTGCCTTACTGTGATTGAATTGTACAGTGTAATGAAAAAGATGCAAGTTATTGATTAAAAGTGTCTCAGGCGTGAGAGTGTATATGTGCTTGCATGCACACATGAATGTGGCTGTTGAGGAAAGGTAACGAAGGTGTAACTTCTTGTGCTCAAAGAGATCTTCCCATTTTAGTATCCCTTTATCTTTCTTCTCTTGCATGTTCTGGTTTAGTGCATATAAACTATAGTTTGTATATTAAAGAAGGCACTGCCTTTTGCTACAAAACCTTCTCTCGCAAATTTTTATCATTTTTTTTCTTTCTATCTAAGGATAAATCAATTAACTACCCTTTTTAGATAGATTTGCCCTGCTTATGATTTCTGTTTGCAGAACCGGCACTCTGCTGCCTTGAGTACTGGTTCATGTGGATGATTGCAGGTGGCGCGCTAATGCTGTGACTGGGTGTCATTGCAGAATGGAATAGGATTGGTGGTCGTGCAGGGCTCTGCTCTGTTGGTTTGCAGCTCTGTGAATTACTGCTTCTAACGTTTGTCCTAATTGAGCTGAAGTCCTTTCAGCAGCCTCTGTTACAACTGCATGGATTTATGCATGCAGACTGACGGCTTCCTGACAAAGTGTGTAACATACTTTTCTGTCCTGGATTTTCAGGTTATGTCATGTGATTCAGCATGCACTTTTTTGAGAAAAGTTTTGTCACTCTGCATTGGCATAAGTTCTCAGCTGCTCTAGAAGCTGCATTTAAAGTGAAAGAGGAGGGTTGGGTTGCCTTTTTTTGTTTGTTTGGAGTTTTTTGTTTTTGGTTTTGGGTTTTTTTTGTTTTGTGGGGGAAGGTGAGGGGGCAGTTGTGGGTTTGTTCTGACACCCTCCCCCCACAGTTTTTTGTATGCTTCTTTAAATAAAAATAAATAAAACAGCAGGCAGTTAATTAGAATTTGTGCAACAAGCATCAGTAATTTATTAATATAAATTACATAGTAATTGTATTTATTGTATTTAATTGCATTAATTGTATTTATTCTTCTTCTGTCTTTTGCCTTGCAGACCAGAATCTGTAGAAGCTAGCCCTGTGGTAGTTGAAAAATCGAACAGTTATCCACACCAGTTGTATACCAGCAGCTCGCATTCACACAGTTACATTGGTTTGCCCTATGCAGTAAGTTTCATGCTAAGTATTCTGTGTAAAATAGGTTATGTAAAAACTGCTGTTCTTAACTGGAAAAACTCTGATTCATGCTTACATTTATGTATCTTATTGGGAGTTGGGCAAGTTTTCTAAAGATGGTTGAAGCAAAATACAGAACATAGTATATTTACATGTAAAACATAGTTGAGAAGGTAAAAAACAAGAACAAGCAATGGCAGAAAAAAAATTAAACTATTACTAAGAAGTTCTTTACAAAGTGAATTCCTACACTGATTTAAATAACCATCAGTGTATGAACACTTAAGAACTATAACCTATCTTTCAACAAAAATCTAGGACCATAACTATGGTGCTCGGCCTCCTCCAACGCCTCCAGCTTCTCCTCCTCCATCAGTGCTTATAAGCAAGAATGAAGTAGGCATATTTACAACTCCCAACTTCGATGAAACCTCCAGTGCTACTACCATCAGTACGTCAGAGGATGGAAGCTATGGAACTGATATTACCAGATGCATTTGTGGCTTTACACACGATGATGGATATATGATCTGTTGTGACAAATGCAGGTAATGAATATTAAATTAATTTAAAAGGTAAAAGTTAAAAGTGCAAGCTGCTCTGAAAGTAAGCGTTCTTAATGGTGTTTTAATTAAGTTGAGTCATAAGAAATTTCCTTCCATCAAAACTGTGTTTGAAGTTTGTGTGGCTTTCTAATATGCAAGGTAGTTGGTTAAGGCCAGTGAGCGTTTTATACACCATTCCAGTGTGTCTCGACTACTCATATGAATTTGTTCATGCCTTTTCTTATGCATTGTTGCTTAATAAGGCTATATCTTTTTTCCCCTGTAAAAAGGTTATCTCTGGTATTTTGTCCAAGTTATTTAGTATGGGGAAATAAAGACCTAGGGGATTAGTTCTTAAGGTGCATGTACAGAATAATAAAGCATCTTGGTAAATTATGTGTATTTAAATTGAGTAACTTGCAGGATGCAAAATAATCTGAAAGAAACTTCTCAGATATTGTTTTTTCTGTGCATGATTTTTCTGATAAGAACTCTTCATTTTCAAAGGACATAGTTTTAAGAATTCTAATAACTATGAAAAGAATAATCCAGATTCTCATTGGAGAAGCTGAAGTTAAATGTTTAAACTTCTGTGTTCATACTTGAGCACCTACTTGATTGTAGTAAAATAAGTGGATGCTGTTAAATACTTGGACTTGGAAAAATGAGCTTAGAATTTTTTAGAGCTGATATACTTAACAGGAGAAGGCAAATCTGGATGTACTCAGCATTAGCCTGTATTTTTACATTCAGTGTGCTTAATGAATGCTGCTGAATTTATTAGAATGTTGTGTATTTCTAAAACAATTGCTGTGGCTAACTGAAATATTACTTTGAACTCCATTCTTCTGTCTGCTTATGCAACAAGCTTTTAATTAATTTTGATGGTCCTTGATTGATAACCTTTTCCCTTATTTTGAAATGTATTTAGATGTTTTTTTCAGCATTGGAGCTGTAGGCAGTCACCAGTTAGGTAGAGTCTGCTTCTTTTGAAGAAGGGTTTCTCTATGAGGAGTTGGAGAGAGTTCTGATAAATTCACAATGAAAGATAACAATGATTTCTGTTTCCCAGTACCTTTTAGCAGTGTGGGGATGAGCATGAACTACTGTGCTAGGTTAGCCTGTGAACTAGCAAGCAGCCTCTCTTTCCTGACTGTGGGAAGCAGTTGAAGTTCCTCCTAATGCTGCACACAGTCAGGTGGAGTGTGTGTGTATAAAAACATGTATTTATATATTCTATTAAAATATGTAAGTAAATAAAAACATATATTTGTGTATATATCTTTATATAGAAAATAATATTTAATATATATTTTAAAAGGAAATTTAATCCTTTTGTTTAAAAACAAAACTCCTGTTACTATGTAAAGCATAACTCTTGTTGCTGAGGGTATTTGTCTCTATCTTGTTCTCTTTTGTGATAATTTACCATTTTTTATTTCCAGTGTTAGAGAAAAATTTCCAAGAGGGAAAATGAGTCTAAAGAAGCAGAGAGACACCGGGAGACAGCCACAAGATTGGAATTACAGTGATCAGTGGAATAGAAAATCAGCTAGCAGATTGGTGGTGAAGACAGTGATTGAGATGTAGTTTTAGGCAGTATTCATTCAATCTCAGTAAAGATCATGATAAAAAAAAGAACGGCTCTCTCCTTCTCTGTGTGTGTGTGTGTGTGTGTGTATTCTGCACACAATTTGAAAAAGAATACTTAAAATTAAAAGGTTTTTTCTTTTTTTTGTTTGTTTTTTCAAGTGTCTGGCAGCACATTGACTGCATGGGGATTGACAGGCAGCATATTCCTGACATATATCTGTGTGAACGTTGTCAGCCAAGGTGAGTAGTTTGTTTAATTTTGAACTCTAAATAAAGTAGAATGAGTAAAGAATATAAGAGAAGGTACTGGCACAGCCAGCAGATGAAACACGGAGCACGTGGCATAATCCTGACAGCTCTTTTAAAGGAGCTACGTTTCTGATGCAGATGATCTTACCAGTCTCCATTCCCTTGTTCACAGTAGTCATTAATTTCACCCTCACTAGGCAGCAGGGATAAACACTTGAAATGCCTCTTGAAGTAGCAGTCATTCCTGGGTCCTCTCTCAGCCTGACTGATACATAGACAATCCATTCTGTGTTTTGTTCCATGGCTGTCATACATTGAGAACCCCTAACAGCAGTGTTTTCACCTCAGGTGTCCCACCAGTATTTCTCAGTGGTCTTTGGCTCCATTCCAGTAAGCTGCAGTGCTCAGTTGTAGGATTTCTTGCCTTGAGACACATGGTCTGAATCTTGGGATTGTCCTATGCTAGAGCAAGAGTTGGACTCCATGATCTTTGTGGGTCCCTTCCAACTCACAACATTCTGTGATTTGTGTGTCCTCCCCTCCCGCCCCAACGTGATGTCACGTGACATGACAGTGAGGGCATTTTGTTCTGACTGTGTGGTAGGGACACTATACCTGACGGTTGTCATAGCTGGCCTGTGATGTAGAGTGTAAAATGCTCCCTGTTACTTACATTGCAGATTGTTAATTAGGCAGTGAATGAGATGCATGTTCAGAACATTTCAATTACCGATAAATGATTATTTTATTTCTGAGAAATACACTTTGTCATAGAATATTTTTTTAATTGTATTGTGATGATTGTTTTGAAGAATCTGCAGGAAAATTGTGTAATGCCGGCTTATCTGTAATCTGTGGACCAACTATCAATCTTTCTTCTGAGTTACAGGTTTTCGTTGTGTTTCAAATTATTTGGATACTTGTGTGTGCTTTGGATTAAAATGGAATGGAGCAGTGCACAACTGATGTTTGTCTTTATAAACATTCAGCTGTTTACTGTTTATTCTGTAATAGTCAATAGAAAATGGTAACTCTGAAAAGGTCTTTTAATACTTATATATATTGATACATAAGTGTGAAGAATGGAATAAAATCTATTTTTTAATTTCAGGAGTTTAGATAAAGAAAGGGCAATTCTGTTGCAACGAAGGAAAAGAGAAAATATGTCAGGTGAGTAAAGCTTAAAGATTTTTCCTTAGTAAAGGTTGTAAAATATTTTATCAGCTGTGTGGAGTTGAGAGTGTATACACAGTTCCTGCAATTTTGATAGCCTTCATGAAATATAAGGCTTAGTAAATCAGTGCCTTTTATTTGACTTTATCATTACTAAGATAATATTATATCAGAATTGTTGCAGTTACATGTTTTATTAAAGGTTGTCATCACTACCTTTTTTCTTATCGTTGTGGAATATTTCGGTCCGAACATTGTTAAAGTTTCATAATAATCAGTGTAGCTTTCACAGTAACTAGACTGCTTTGAGTAAGCTACTGGAGATAAGATAGAAAAGGTTCAGGTTTCTTCTGCGATAAGAGAGGGTTACTAAGTCTACTTTCTTTCTGGAAAAAAATTATTTCACAGCTCTCTTACTTTTTCCTGCATAGTATACATTACTCATATCATCATGCTCATCTCTTATAGCTATTCCACTGCAGGCGATATTCCTGTCTCTAGGAAGTACATAATTGGGATTTAAAACAATCTAGCATGGTTTGGAAAGAGAATCCTAATTCTGATTTGTTGGCTGTAGATTTAGGTGTGTGTATTGCTATGTTTTTGGGCTTGTTTTGACAAAGAAAAATGAGAGTCTTTTGGCCTTCTACTAGGTGAGGCTTGTAGTGCAAGTACCTGTTTCAGTCTCTCTATTTTATGAAATTGGTTCTCCTACTGCTTACAAAATTTCAAAACTCAGCCAAGCCTAACTTGTCAGGAATTGTGTGCAGCCACTACCAACATGTGTTGTGGCTTTCTTGATGGACAGGTGATACTTTCGAGCTCTATTACCAAAGTCATAATTTGGGAGGAAGTCATCCTCCTAAACTGAACGTGTTTTACTTTCAAATCGTTTCTCTGAAGTACTGGGGTGCAAGTGTGTGTGTGTGTGTGTGTGTTAAGATTTCTTTAAAAAATACCATGTAGATAAGGTCCTGCTGCCTACTTCTTTTGCCTTCAGAAAATTCTGAAGTGTGTGATGTGACCTAGAAGTGTGCTGATAAGCCACACACTTCTTGGTGTGGTTGATGCTTTCTGCTGTCCAGTGCTAAGGCACCTTAAGTCCCATAAAGGCATTAATGACTTAGAACACCACAGTAATTTTTGTATGTTTGTGATTCATTTGGAGTTAATGAGTTCACTAAGTGATATGATGATATTGTGAGGATGAACTTGAATTTACATATGAGATAGGGGAAGTTGATGGTCTGAGCTATTTAAGTAATCTTTTAGGATTTGTAGGAAAGCTATCTGATCATTTACTATAAACTTAAGAGAAGAGAGAGAATAAAAATCTTAGCAGGAGCTGAAGAGATTTTACCTTTCAAGTTAGTGTTCAGCCATCCATAGTCCTGATGATTAGTCTTTTTAAATCTGCTTTATGCATTCAGTAAGAAAAGAAATACTAAATAGTAAGTCTTAAGTATCAAAACAGAGTAAAACCAAAGGTAATTCTAATTTTGTTTAGCCCAAGACTCAGTTGAAGTGCAGTATAAATTACTGTGATTTATAATACATAACTTGAAATTAATATATGCTTGCATCTCTAGTTAATTTTCATTTAGCCAATACATTTGCTTCGCTAAATGCACTTTTTGTATGTTGACTGATATTACATGGTTCAATCAGACTTAAAGTAATTTAGGGTATGAACTGTCTTACCATGAGACATTAGTAAAAATGGCCAGTTTTCATTGATTATTCTAAGCAGGAAATGCAAAAGTGGCACAATTTGAATGTGTCTATTAAATGTTTTAAGTATTCAACATATTACAGTATGTTACTTGTAACTTACTACTAAGTTACAGGTGATTAAAGGTAGGATTGCATTATTTGGATGTTTTTTGATGAGTAAGTGTGTATATGTATATAGGGCTTTGGGGTTTTTTTTAAGCTTATGTATAGTAGGACTTTTCATTTAGATATGAGAATATTTCACAGTATAATAGTTTTATTCTAAAGATTTGTAAAGAGCTACTGCTTTAGCCATGTTGCATCCAAAGCTATACAGTGGGGAGCAAGTAGTACATCAGTTGCTTTGCCTCAAAAAATGAGCTTTTAAGTCAGTATTTCACGTGATACGATGTTTGGTGAGAGTCTTAAACTTTCATGTGTAGCCACATCACCTTTTTTCCTGGCAACATTTATAGCCCATTGTTCTGGGGTCTGTGGTTGTATGTGGTGCTGTTGGTTTTGCTCTTCTGATACAAAAATGTAATTCTGATGGTACTTGCTGTGTATTGGATTCCTTATTGTGGTTCAGTGGAGCGGTCACCTTTAAGGCTCCGTTAAGCCCCCGGTCAGTTGCCCTGGGTTTAGTTTTTTTGTTGTATTTTTGTTGTGATTTTTTGGTTTTGTCTGTTTTTAAGATACAGTATCTATATGTCTAACTTGTTCAAAGATACTGCTTCAAGCTGCCTGGTCTTGAAACTGGTGCTGATGAAATTACTTGCTGCTTATGGGGAAACTTCTTGTGAAATTCAGAGTTCGTATCTTGCCTTCCAAGATGCAAAATCTTCCCTTAGTGTGCTCTTCAAAGTGAAAGCAGGTTATGTAGGTTAGGAAGGAGTGTCTGAAAACAACTCTTGTCTAATTACATGTTCTGTTGAGGTAATTATTCTTTGCAGTAAGTTAGAGCACAGTGTAGACAACAATATTGAAATGCTGCTTCCTTAAGGAAGACAGTGTTTTGGGGGGTTTTT